ATAAACAGTACAAAATAATATAATGGAAAATCAAACACAGTGGGTGGGCCAAATGCACAACATAAAATGGTAAAACTCTGGATAAGATAGCAATGTGGGGGAGGAGTTCGTGGGGACTGAACAATGCATGCGCAAAACCACACACATATATGCAAACACACACATATATAGATACAAAAATAGACACACAAAACACATATACACAGACTGGACCACAGCAACGCGTGGCAGTGGATGGCTAGTATAAACATATAACCCATCCATTCCATGTGCCACAGCACCACCTGCTGGTCAGGGCAGAGTTTTGCTCCAAGCCCAGATTCACTAACTTCTCATTTTCGGAAAGATGAAAGCAGAACCACAAAATGCAATCTAAACAATTTACCATGGGTAAGAGAAACAAAGGGAAACTAAACTTTCTAGCTGTACTAGTCATCCACAAACCAAATCAACAACTGGGCCACACAGTCTACAGAAAACCCATGCACACCTACATAAAAACTCCAACCGTCACCCAGGTCAAAAGAGAAGCAAGTGAAAGCCCTGACAGGTTGTTAAAAAGAGTCTGCAAACTCACCTCCAAGGTGAACTGAACCACCTAAACTGGGCTCTGCAGGCAAATGGGTCTGTATTCCACAACAGGCAACGGAAGAGCTGCAAGACCATGAGTGAAGACAAAGATCCACCCAGAGGAAAAGTTTGCTGTGAGTTTCTTGGGCTGTACTGCTGTGCCGTTGCACCTGGGGGCTATTATTCTCAATAAAGGAGGGATGGATGTGGCATTTCCCCCCCCAGGGGATTGCTTCTTGCCCTCCTATAGGAAACTGGAACTCCCAAAAACCCAAAACGCTGTAAATAGCTCAAAATAAGTTTATTTATCACAAAGTCATTTCTTCAAAGCAATGAGCTGGAAAACTTTAGAGGGGTGAAGAAAAACATACGTTACAGTCTCAATTAGTCCTGGGTCCAAGGGGTTTGAAGCTGAGAAGCCTCACCAAGTTTCCTCTTTCCTCAATGGCTGTGAATGCCAGAGCAAACCACAACCCCAGTTCAGATGGCTTATGTTTTGAAGATTCAGGATCTTCCTTTGGTGCCAAAAGAACTGGCTTGAAGGCACCTGAGTCTCCTCAATAATTGTCCAGGACGATCTGGACATAAAGCATGAGTCCCAGGGGTAAAAAACCTCAGAACTGGTCCTAAGAGGTAACTTAAATCAGGGTCCTTTAGAATCAAGTCTTTTACTCAGTCCATGTTGCAGGAACTCTGATGGCAGAATGAAGAAGAAAAAGGAAGTTCTCCCCTCTTGCAGGAAGAGGTGGAGCCAAACAGTACTGATTGACAGCTACAAGCAACCAATCCATACAACTATACATAAGCAGGGTAAAAGGGGCAGGATTAAGCATGATACAACAGTTTAAATCTTACAACTAACAGTTCTATATATAGGTGGCGCCACTCGCACCGTCACAACTGCCATGTAGCATTGTCTCCTAAGCAAAGGGCTTTGAATGAAATTAACAGCAAAAGAGAAATATACCCTTTCTCTGTAGAAAAGGTGCAACACGGAAAAAATGTTTTTGAGAGACAAGATGTGACATGTAGAAGTCATACAAAGTTCAAGCCTACATAGGAAGTAGTTGTGTTGTGATTAAGTTCAAAGGTTGTGGTTAAGTGGAGTCTGCAGATACAAGAAGGTACTTTCCATCAAAAGGTCAAGGAAGAGGAGCTGGAAAGAGAGTACTTTCCATGACCTATTACTTGAGTATAAAAGTCAGCAGAAAAAGAGGAGGGGCGCGGCAGTCACTTGAAGGGTAGCATCTGCGTATGCTGCCAGGCTGTCCATCTTCTTCATGAAGAAACTAAAATAAACCTTGTTTTTTTATCTTTTTTGGGACTGTCTCCTTCCTTACGTGTTCCTGTGATGTGGACCTAAGAAGACCCAATTTAGGGTCTCTAACATGTGTGTGTATCATATCTATCTATCTATATGACTAGATGGCTCTTTGTTATGAGGGCTTTGGTTACATTTTTTTGCCTTGGTGAAGGGAGTTGGACTGGGTGGCCTTAAGTATTTTCTGTTGGTCATGGGGGGTTCTGTGTGGGAAGTTTGGTCCAATTCTGTCGTTCATGGGGTTCAGAATGCTCTTTGATTGTAGGTGTGTTCTGTCGCCGCTGGAGCCGAAATGAGGTGCTTTTAAGAGAGGATGTTAGGCTTGCATCCAGCGGGAAGCCAGGGCCCCCGAAAAGAAGCCTTTAGGAAAATTTCCCTTATTAAGCAGTCTTTATGAGGCTTGAGCTTAAATATAACAGTTCTTTATTAATGAACAAACAGGAATTGTAAGCTTTCTTATCAGTCTATTAGCTCTTGCAATCTTGTTTACAGGAAACAGGCACTATCTTCAAGAACTTTGCTCAAAGGAAAATTCCCCCTTTTAGCTCCTCCCAGGCTGCTGTGAACCTAAACCTGACTGATTTGAGTCTACTACTGGCTGAACTGTGTCTCAGAACCTAGCAGACGTACCAGCAGGGCTGTAGTCACTTAGCTGGAGATGAGCAGAGCTGTTATTCCCTCCGGAAGTCCTCAGGGCTGTAAAGCTGTTTCCCTGGAACCTTTTGGGAATCTGTAGAGGCTCTTAAAACTGTTCTCCCCCGGGAAGTCTTAAGAGACGAAGCCTTTGCACAGGAGGACGTTTGTGTACATCCTCTGCATTGACTTCCTTTTTTGAGACTAGCTGAAAAATGGCCCCTTCCCTCCAAAAAACCCAGAGAGGGGCGGGACCAGGGAACCTAACTGTTATTGACAGGTGGCTTGTCCTATGAATGCAAATTATAACAGGAAGCCACCCTGCTGCAAAATCCCAAGCATGGGATTGCACACAAACATTTAAACACAGCAAATAAATCTGGAGCTCCTGGAACAGCTGTTCCAGAACACTAACATGTGTGTCCGTGTATCATATCTATCTATCTATCTATCTATCTATCTATATCTATGGCTGGATGGCTCTTTGTCAGGAGGACTTGCCCTGATGAAGGGAGTTGGACTGGATGGCCTTAAGTATTTTCTGTTGGTCATGGGGGTTCTGTGTGGGAAGTTTGCCACATCTGGTAGGGTTCAGAATGGTCTTTGATTGTAGGTGAACTATAAATCCCAGTAACTACAACTCCTAAATGTCAAGGTCTATTTCCCCCAACTCCATCTGTGTTCATATTTGGACATATTGAGTATTCATAAGTATTAATGCCAGATCCATCATTTTTTTGAGTCCACAGTGCACTCGATGTAGGTGAACTACAACTCCCAAACTCAAGGTCAATGCCCACCAAACCCTTCTAGTTTTTTCTGTTGGTCATGGGAGTCCTGTGTGCCAAGTTTGGTTCAATTTCATTGGTGGAGTTCAGAATGCTCTTTGATTGTAGGTGAACTATAAATCCCAGCAACTACAACTCCCAAATGTCAAGGTCTATTTTCCCCCAACTCCACCAGTGTTCACATTTGAATATTCATGCCAAGTTTGGTCCAGATCCATCATTGTTTGAGTCCACAGTGCACTCTGGATGTAGGTGAACTACAACTCCCAAACTCAAGGTCAATGCCCACCAATCCCTTCCAGTGTTTTCTGTTGGTCATGGGAGTCCTGTGTGCCAGGTTTGGTTCCATTTCATCCTTGGTGGAGTTCAGAATGCTCTTTGATTGTAGGTGAACTATAAATCCCAGTAACTACAACTCCCAAATGTCAAGGTCTATTTTCCCCCAACTCCATCTGTGTTTATATTTGGACATATTGAGTATTCATGCCAGGCCCGTAGCCAGGATTTCGTTTCGGGGGGGGGGTTTCAGGGGGGGCTGAGTTTCAGGGGGGGCTGAGTCTGAGTGAAAGAGGGTCTAGCCTAGCAAACCTTTTGTATCATTACCCCAATACCCCCATGTATATGGGATATATTGAGTATGGTGATCAGATCATGATATGAATAAACATAACAGTTTAAATAATGCACCAGTAAGGCCTTTTCGCGAACCACCATCAGAATTTCGTTGGTGGAGTTCAGAATGCTCTTTGATTGTAGGTGAACTATAAATCCCAGTAACTACAACTCCTAAATGTCAAGGTCTATCCCCCAAACTCCATCTGTGTTCATATTTGGGCATATTGAGTATTCATGCCAAGTTTGGTCCAGATCCATCATTTTTTTGAGTCCACAGTGCACTCGATGTAGGTGAACTACATCTCCCAAATTCAAGGTCATGGGAGTCCTGTGTGCCAAGTTTGGTTCCATTCCATCCTTGGTGGAGTTCAGAGTGCTCTTTGATTGTAGGTGAACTATAAATCCCAGCAACTACAACTCCCAAATGACAAAATCAAATTTTTTGAGTGAAGGACATACATTAGGTTGTTAGGTGTCTTGTGTCCAAATTTGGTGTCAATTCGTCCAGTGGTTTTTGAGTTCTATTAATCCCACAAACTAACATTACATCTTTTTATTTATATAGATAGATAATATATTCGTATTATTACATAAAGGTAAAGGTAGTCCCCTGACATTAAGTACAGTCGTGTCTGACTCTGGGGGGTGGTGCTCATCTCCATTTCTAAGCCGAAGAGCCAGCGTTGTCCGTAGACACCTCCAAGGTCATGTGGCCGGCATGGCGGCATGGAGCGCCGTTCCATAACAGTGTTACAATTAGGAGAGCACGCTGTAAAACAAAACCAACTAATACGGAGAGGGGCGGGATCAATAAGCCACGCCTCCTCTTCCTTTCTGTTCTTCCTTGTTTATGTAGAACAGGAGCCGAATAGGGTGGCAGGTAGCCAATCAGCGGCGAGGGGCGGGATAAATCACGCCCTCTTTACTATCGATACGCCCACTCATTTTCTTAGCTCCGCCCACTCACATGAGAGTGTCTCCGGCTTGTTTTAAAGGCGCCTGAAGCCTCGCGATAACTTGCGGGGGCTGCCTCGTCCAATCAGGGCGTCCCGTTCACCGGATGTTGATGTTGGCGGCGGTTTCCGGTCCGGCCTCTTTTCTCCCTCAGCTGGTTGAAAGGGAGGTCGGCCTCCGCGGAGGAAGCAGGTAATAATAATAAATGTAACAATACTACTACGAATCAATATAATACTACTAGCAATACAGTATAATGAAATAATTATATATTTTATATTACATGTATTACTAATAATATTGGAGTGTACTGGTATATTCACTCGCTGGAACACCCCAGCAAGCAAGAGTCCAAAAGTGGCAGGCTCAAACCCAGAACCTCAACCAATGGCTGATACCAAATGAGAGACTACCCCCTGGGCACACAGAGGACTGAGCGACTTGGAAGGCACTGAACAGACTGCGCTCTGGGACCACCAACGACTCAAATCAAGAAATAGTTTCCTAAGATCTACAGAGACACTCGCTGGAACACCCCAGCAAGCGAGAGTCCAAAAGTGGCAGGCTCAACCCAGCACCTCAACCAATGGCTGATACCAAATGAGAGACTCCCCCCTGGGCACACAGAAGACTGGGCGACTTGGAAGGCACTGAACAGACTGCGCTCTGGCACCACGAGATGCAGAGCCAACCTTCAGAAATGGGGCTACAAAGTTGAATCCACAACATGCGAGTGTGGAGAAGAGCAAACCACTGACCACCTGCTGCAATGCAACCTGAGCCCTGCTACATGCACAATGGAGGACCTTCTTGCAGCAACACCAGAGGCACTCCAAGTGGCAAGATTGGTCAAAGGACATTTAACCAACTACCAAACTCACACGTTTTGTATTTGTCTGTTTGTTTGCTTTGTTCTGTTAGAAATGTAATATAATGGACTGGGTGCTCTGACACGACAAATAAATACTGGTATATTGCAATATAGTAATATATAATTATATATTGTCTGTAAATATAACTTGTAAGCGGCTCAGAGGACCCTTCAGGGTGAGAAGGGAGGGTTATAAATGTTGTACATAAATAAAAATATCATATAAAAATGATTAAGATTATTATTGTTGTAATATAAATATATTATTTTAATATCATTATTTTAAAATTAATATTATCTTAACAGCAATATGGCAAAAGTATGATAGCAGGGACCCTACGCTAGTTGTGCAACGCGGGTCAGAATTAATGAAGGGAACACAATTGAAGAAAGATATTGACAAACTGGAATGTGTCCAGAGGAGGGCGACTAAAATGATCAAGGGTCTGGAGAACAAGCCCTATGAGGAGCGGCTTAAAGGAGCTGGGCATGTTTAGCCTGAAGAAGAGAAGGCTGAGAGGAGACATGATAGCCATGTATAAATATGTGAGAGGAAGCCACAGGGAGGAGGGAGCAAGCTTGTTTTCTGCTTCCCTGGAGACTAGGACAGAACAATGGCTTCAAACTACAAGAAAGGAGATTCCATCTGAACATTAGGAAGAACTTCCTGACTGTGAGAGCTGTTCAGCAATGGAACTCTCTGCCCTGGAGTGTGGTGGAGGCTCCTGCTTTGGAGGCTTTGAAACAGAGGCTTGATGGCCATCTGTCAGGGGTAATTTGAATCTTCCAACTCTATGATTCTATGATTCTAACACGAGATGGGGAGCGAGTGAGAGACGCAGCTGCGACAGTATAGCAGTGAAGTAATGTAACTCAGGAGGGACAGGATAAGGTTATTTATTTATCGTGTCAGGAGCAGACCAAACAGTTGTACAGCATTTTTTTAACAAACAAACAAAACACAAAGTTTGCAAGCTTGGTAGTTGATTAAATGTACTTTGACCAGTATCTGGCCACTTGGAGTGCCTCTGGTGTTGCTGCAAGAAGATCCTCCATTGTGCATGTGGCAGGACTCAGGTTGCATTGCAGCAGGTGATCTGTAGTTTGCTCTTCTCCACACTCGCATCTCGTGGATTCCACTTTGTAATCCCATTTCTTAAGGTTGGCTCTGCATCTCGTGGTGCCAGAGTGCAGTCTGTTCAGCGCCTTCCAAGTCGCCCAGTTTTCTGTGTGCCCAGGGGGGAGTCTCTCATCTGGTATCAGCCATTGATTGAGGTTCTGGGTTTGAGCCTGCCACTTTTGGACTCTCGCTTGCTGAGGGGTTCCAGCAAGTGTCTCTGTAGATCTTAGAAAACTATTTCTTGATTTAAGTTGTTGACGTGCTGACTGATACCCAAACAGGGGATGGGCTGGAGATGTCACTGCCTTGATCCTTTCACTATTGGCTGTTACTTCCTGGCAGATGTCAGGTGGTGCGATACCGGCTAAACAATGTAATTTCTCCAGTGGTGTAGGGCGCAGACACCCTGTGAAAATGCGGCATGTCTCATTAAGAGCCACATCTACTGTTTTAGTGTGGTGAGATGTGTTCCACACTGGGCATGCATACTCAGTAGCAGAATTGCATAGGACAAGGACAGATGTCTTCACTGTGTCTAGTTGTGATCCCCAGGTTGTGCCAGTCAGCTTTCGTATGATATTGTTTCTAGCACCCACTTTTTCCTTGATATTCAGGCAGTACTTCTTATAGGTCAGAGCACGGTCCAGAGTGACTCCCAGGTATTTGGGTGCGCTGCAATGCTGTAGTGGGATTCCTTCCCAGGTAATCCTCGAAGCTTGGGATGCTCGTCTGTTCTTAAGGTGAAAAGCACATGGCTGGGTTTTAGATGGGTTAGGGATCAGCTGGTTTTCCCTGTAATAGGCAGTAAGAGCGCATAGATCTTCGGAGAGAGGATAAGGTAATGTAATAGTATTTTCCCCGTCCTTTTAATCCTTCCTTCCATTAGTCGTCTTTCCTCCTGCTTTTTATCCTTCCTTCAATTTCAATGACTCCACTGCAGCTGCGTCTCTCACTCAGTGTGCTCACTCGCGCACGTGTTTCCCTAATTCAGACCTGCGTTGCGCAAACAGGGTAGCATAGAGTACCAGCTATCATACTATTGCCAGCTATATTATTATCATTATTATTGTTATCCAATAGCATATATTAATGTTGCTTTTCCCCATCTCCAGCCATAAGGAGAATCAGGTAGTAAATAATAATAATATAATCCTCTCATTATATGCATTACATTTTTATATTGTAAGATACTATTATTATTATTTCCAGTATCTAGCTATAAGGAGAAGCAGATAAGATATAGAATCCTAGTGTTGGAAGAGACCTCTTGGGCCATCCAGTCCAACCCCATCCTGCCAAGAAGCAGGAAAATGACATTCAAAGCACCCCCGACAGATGGCCATCCAGCCTGTGCTTAAAAGCCTCCAAAGAAGGAGCCTCCATCACACTCCCTCCAGGGCAGAGAGAGAGTTCTCTGCAGAACAGTGGAATCTCCTATAGTTTGAAGCCATTGCTCCATTGCTGCCTAGTCTCCATGATAGCAGAAAATAACAGCAACAACAATAATAACAACTTACGAAATAAAAATGCAATGCATATAACGTGATTATTATTATTATTATTATTATTATTATTATTATTATTATTTCTTACTTGTTTCTCCTTATGGCTGCAGATGGGAAATAACACCTTTAAATATTCTATCAGATGATATTATTATTATTAATAATAATATAAAATACAACATGCTATCAGTTAATACTAAAGTAATAATAAAATTAATACTAGAATGCAATGTTTGCAGTCAGTTAACAATAAAAGGATACAAAATCTAGTTTTGAAAAACAATGTATGCTATCAGTTAATAATAATACATTTAATATTAAAATGCAATGTTTACTATTTTTTATTATTAATAGCCTTTATTGATTTTCTTTTACATATTATTAAAAAAGAGAAAAAGATTAGATGGGGAGGGAGGAAAGAGGCAAGGGAAGGGAGGGAGTGGGGGAAAACAGGGAGAGAGGAAAAGAAGAGGAAAGCAGAAGTGGGACACGGAGAGAGAAAAGAGGGGGGTTGCAATGTATACTATTGATTAATAATAAATGTTTATTTCTTCCCCAAGGATCAAAAAGGAGAACAACAATATATAAAATGCAATACATTCTATGAGATTAATATATCATTATTTTACATGCTTCTCTACATAGATTGTGGTGGGAAAAAACAACATACTAAAATGCAACATAGTCATTCAATTCATGATAATAGTAATAGTTTAGTCCTTACTTGCCTTTCCCCATGAATTGAAGTATGGAACAACATAGACAAATACAATATGTTCAATGAGATTATTTTTATGTTATTGTTTTTTATCTGCTTCTCACCAAGACTTGATGCAGAACAACAACATATTAAAATGTATTTCTTAGCTACTACTTTCCAAGAATGGATGTGGAACAACAGCATATTCAAATACAATATGTTAATTTGGATTATTATTATATTTTATAATTCTTTCTTACCTACCTCTCCATGAATTGATGAGGAACAACAGCATCGTTGCTGTTATTTCTTACCTGCATCTCTGCATGAATTGGGGCAGTGAGCAACGATGTATTAAAACATCTCCCTTTGGATTGAGATGGGGACCGACAGCATATTAAAACACAGCATATATGATAAATTAATAGTAATACTAATTGTTTATTTCTTACCCACCTCTTCCCATGGATGAAGGTGGGGAATAACAGTATATTAAAATACAATCCACACAGTGAAATGATGACGATTGCTCACCTGCCTCTCCATCATAAACTGAGATGGGGAATAACAACATGTTAAAAGGCAACATATGCAATCAGATAACAACAACAATACTGTATTTTGATTCTGAGGTGCATCCTTTTGCCATATAAACATATATAAAATGGGATATGACTTAGAATCTTATATATATATATATATATATATGTATATATGTATGTATGTATCTTTTTATTGGGTTGGTGGGGATGAAATTAGTGTGTCTGTTATAATTATTATTTCTTGGAGTCTTGATTTTTAAGCTTATTCCAGGGTTTATTTGGGGTGCTGATTCAGAAAATTGCATTGGACAGAACACATCAGCTGAAGTTTCTTAGATATAGTTGTTGTGATTCTTTATGGGATAGTAACTGGTCTGTATATCTCAAAAACTAGAGCTGATAGGGGAAAACCGGTGCCATTTTTGTAGTTAGTGTGCCAGCTGTACTCAGAAACATTTGAGGGATCAAAATTTGTGTTGGCCAGCATAATCAATGGTATCTTAGAATCAAAGAACTACAGTAATGATAATTTTCTATCTGGTTCTCCCTATGGATTATGTAGGGACCAAAAATATATTATATGTGACAGACGACAGACCTTGAGGTATTTCAAGAGTAGTCATTTCATTTTAATTTCCACTTAGAATGTTTTAGCAAACAGAGTGTGGAAATAATTTACAATACCCTTAATAAACATGTCTTAGAAGTACGGTGCTTCTTGAAAATAGCATGTTATGAGCATTACTGTCTAATCATCACTCTCCTGTTTTTTTTTTAGAAATGAAGGCCTTCCGTCACATCTAGAGCCCTAATATGGTGACTGCCGATTCCTGCCATGGCATCAGAGCTTTGTAAAACAATAATGGAGGCAAAGCTCGAAAGGCACAAGAACTTATTCTTGAACTACCGAAACCTGCATCATTTTCCTTTAGAGCTTCTAAAAGATGAAGGCCTTCAGTACCTGGAACGGCTCTATATGAAAAGAAATTCACTGACCACCTTGGTATGACTCTTTTTGTGTAACTAGTAAGATGCGATTTATCGGACTTGTGTGGAGGATGTGGTCTTTGAGTTTTCTGCTTTTTACCCTTGTGGGAAACTGTAACAGGTGTATACGTGTGTGTGTGTGTGTGTGGATATTATTATGGTAAGATCTAATTATGTCCACTTTTATTAACACTTGCCAATAGAGGATTTGGCTTGTGTTTGGTATGTGTTGTCTTGTGCAGCATTCTTTTTTTTTTTTGCCTGGAATGCCTTACCTGAAGATCTCCTTGGACTTGTTGACCTTTTGATGAGGCCTTTTCAAACTCTGTGATTCTATGACTCTTTTAGTAGCATTTTTCTAGTTTTAAACAGGATTACTCTTAAATTAAATAGTACTTTAGCTCAGTTTCTCCATAACCCTTCAGGACTTCCCAGCCTGCTCTTACTGTTAACCTTGACCATAATGGCATACAAATCCCCTGCATAGCATAGAATCATAGAGTTGGAAGAGACCTCGTGGGCCATCCAGTCCAACTCCCTGCCAAGAAGCAGGAATATTGCATTCAAAGCACTCCTGACAGATGGCCATCCAGCCTCCATTTGAAAGCTTCCAAAGAAGGAGCCTCCACCACACTCCGGGGCAGAGAGTTAAGCTGCTGAATGGCTCTCACAGTCTGGCAGTTCTTCCTAATGTTCAGATGGAATCTCCTTTCTTGTAGTTTGAAGCCATTGTTCTGCGTCCTAGTCTCCAGTGAAGCGGAAAACAAGCTTGCACCCTGTGACTTCCTCTCACATATTTATACATGGCTATCATATCTCCTCTCAGCCTTCTTTTCTTCAGGCTAAACATGCCCTGCTCTTTAAGCCGCTCCTCATAGGGCTTGTTCTCCAGACACCCTTGATCATTTTAGTCACTCTCCTCTGGGCACATTCCAGCTTGTCAATATCTCTCTTCAACTGTGGTGCCCAGAATTGGACACAATATTCCAGGTGTGGTCTAACCAAGGCAGAATAGAGGGGTAGCATTACTTCCCTAGATCTAGGCACTATGCTCCTATTGATGCAGGCCAAAATCCCATTGGCTTTTTTGCCGCTACATGACATTGTTGGCTCATCTTTAACTTGTTGTCCACGAGGACTCTAAGATCTTTTTCACATGTTATCTGTCCTCCTGCTTACAACTCCTGCTAAATGTCCTGTTCAAAGGGGACAAAGGATCAAGTGCACACAAATATTTATATTCACATTTACACCATTGTCTTTTGCAGCTCTGTGCATGGAGCGGGTAAAGTAAATCTTGCGTCACACAATACATTTCAGTCCTGGACTCCCATATAGAAAGTGACCTCTATTTATTGCTTCCCTAATCCTGGAACCAAATAAATACACGAAAGGGTTGCTCTTCAAGATCATCTGTCATGTTGGCATTACTGAATATTACAGTAAAATGAAAGAAAGGGCATACTATAAAACTGTTTCCAGAGGGTATTTGCTATTGGTGTAGAGTTGAAGAACTCATAGGTGTTTTTCTATCGAGATTACAGTGGCTGCAAAAGTAACTCAGGTGATCCTTGTTTTCTCTTTGGGACTTGTACATTTGTATCTATTTGCAAATGTTATTATTTTAAAAGTCGTTGAATCCAATAACAAGGAGGTCAAGTGTCCTTCATTACTATTGAGACAACAGTTGTTTCAAAAAGTTAACTAAATTGAGGCTTGTTTTGTCTTTGCCACTTGTACATTTGTATTTATTTGCAAATGTATTTTTAATTCTTTGAATCCAATAACAAGGACATCAGATGACACAGTGCACAAAAACTTTGAGGGGGTGGAATTGGAGTGCTTGGCATGAAGTCCCCAGTAGGTGGAAACCAAAGCTCGGGATTCCTGCAGCATGCCTGCCTCATACAAAGCAAGCAGAAGAATCATGATCTCACTTCTGGCTATGCACAGCGCTCCCTGTGCTCTAAAAAATGTATGCTGGAGAATGTTGGCCAGATAGCCTTTTCTAAAAAGGACTGTAGATGCCTTATTTGCCAAATATCAATTCTTCAACCATCTGTAGTCAATTGTTAAAACTGAATTTGGTGCTTCTTCTTTCTTGACCTTTTCTCGACATGAAGAACTAGGCAGAAAGAAGCCATGTACTGTGAGGTATGTTCTGTGCTTGAAGAGCACAGAAATTAAACTTGGCTGCCCTCCAATTCTGAGCATCTAGAATTCAGAGTTTGAAATCCTCAGATGTTTCCAAAACAGTTGCCATATTAGTTTGATGGTGCAAATCCAACCAAATGGCATTCTATACTAGCAAATCAGTTATTGATTAACTCCATACGCATGAAACCTTCATATGTATGACCTCTCGGTGATTAAAATGGCGTGTAATTGTTGAAATAGCAGATATGATTTAATTCTGTATTTCAAAGATCTTTATTTATTTGCTTTGAGCCATTGGAAGGTGACTTGGGTTTTCAAAAGGCATTTCTAATATATTACATATTGAGGAATATAGTGGAGCCCCTGATTATTATTATTATTATTATTACTTTATTTGTACCCCGCTAGCATCTCCCGAAGGCCTCGATGCGGCTTACACAGGCCAAGGCCTCAAACACAATACAACAATACAATACCTAGAGCAAATTAAAAACAGATTAAGCAGAGTAAACAACAGCAATAACAATACATTGAGACATCAAGGCACTATAAAAACTGGGCCGGGCCAGGGTAGTGGGTACAGGATTAAAAGTGCTGATGTGGCAGGAGGTATGTAGGATTATAAAATAGGTGCAGTGTGATCTTAATTCTATTAAAGTGCTTCTGGGTTTGATATTGGGGGTTCCTAATCTGGAAAGGCACATCGGAACAGCCAGGTCTTCAAGTTCTTTCTGAAGACTGCCAACGAAGGGGCCTGTCTAAGATCTTTTGGGAGGGCATTCCAGAGTCGGGGAGCCACCACAGGAAAGGCCCTGATGGTGCAGCAGGTTAAATTGCTGAGCTGCTGAACTTGGAACCAAAAGGTTGGCAGTTCAAATCCAGGGAGTGGGATGAGCTCCTGATGTTAGCTCCAGGTTCTGCCATCCTAGCAGTACAAAAACATGCAAATGTGAATAGATAATAGGTACTGTTCCTGCGGGACGGTAACAGCACTCCATGCAGTCATGGCAGTAGTCTCATGACCTTGGAGGTGTCTACAGACAACGCCAGCTCTTCGGCTTAGAAATGGAGATGAGCACCACCCCCTAGAGTCGGACACGACTAAACTTCAAGTAATGGGAAACCTTTACCTTAAGGAATATAGTGCTCAGTGAGGCTTCAGTGCAAGTATGTTAGCTATTTTGTGTACTATCCTATAATAATCTAATTCAGAAGGATAGGGGTAATCCACACTTCTTGAACTCCAGAGCCCTTCCAGACAGGCCCTATATTTGATCGCGGATTTTCTGTTTATCCCAGAGTATCTGGCAGTGTGGGCTCATATAATCCAGTTTAAAGCGGAAAACCTGAGATCAGATCTTGGGATATAGATAGGGTCTGTCTGGAAGGGTCCCATGTCTCCCCATTAAAAGCTAGCTGTGCCGTCAAAACAAATAGCCTACTTTAATCCAGCAATGTTCCTGCATCATTTTGGTGATAACAGCTGTGGCTTTTCAAGCTGAAGTGTAGACCAGAATGCATTCTCAATGTCATATGAGTTAGTGGGATACATTTCAAAGAAGTTTTGCATCCTGATTTTAACTTTGGCACAGAGTTAAGTTGATATAGACCCCATTACATCCGCTGATGCAGCCTAGAATTGCATTGGATTTTTAAGTTTCCAGAGCTTACTATTGATTCACGTTCTGTTTAGTGTCTACTAAGAATCCTAGAATCCTTGCAGATTTAGGGACTTTGATAGAAATATGTGTGAAAAAGATCTTGGAGTCCTCTGGAGACTAGGGCAATGGCTTCAAACTACAGAAAAGAAAGGAGATTCCACCTGAACATGAGGAAGAACTTCCTGACTCAGAGAGCTGTTCAGCAGAGGAACTCTCTCTCTCTCTCTGCCCCAGAGTCTGGTGGATGCTCCTTCTTTGGAGGCTTTGAAACAGAGGCTGGATGACCATCCATCAGGGTGTTTTGAAGGCGATTTTCCTGCTTCTTGGCAGAATGGGGTTGGACTGGATAGCCCATGAGGTCTTGGAGTCAAATCTTGGCCCATTCTTGAATCTGCAAAGCTGGCTTTCTAATTCCCTGTGCAGTGTTTATTTCTGAAACTAAACCAAAACTTGTATCTTTCCCTTTTAGCCAGAAGACCTTGCTCAGAAGCTTCCAAACCTTGTGGAATTGTAAGTGTTTTTAATGCCTTGTTTGCACTGAGACATGAAATTAAGCTAAGAGCATATCGTAGGGGCAGGGAAAGGTGCTGTATGTTTGTAGACAGATGTCTTCAGAGCAGTTTTGTGAGCTTTAATGCTCATTCCTCCTTGCTGAAGAGCTGGCCTGTTTTGCCATAGCCATTTTGGTGTGCTTTTCCATGACCTAATTTTGCTTGCGCTGCCTTCTCCTTTGCTTCAGCACAGCGGTTATGAACCTAAGTGACAGCTTGGAGGCACCAACATGTCAAGTGCTTGGTCTGTGACTAACTTCATTCTGCAGCAGCTAAGCTAGGTCATTTGTTCAAAAAAGAAAGAGAGACAAATCATATAATCACAGGTAGCGGAAATGTTTGGCTTCACATCATTTATATTCCACACGTTTGCTAAAAGGCGATACAATAGTGTTCCCTGTTATTTAAAAGACGTTTCCTCTTGTAAAACCTACTCAAATACAGTGATGCAAGTAAATATGTCATTTGTGCTGTGTGAGTAAAATACCTTTGCAAAAAAAAAAAAACAAGGAACCTCTTCCTCCCCTGTTTTCCCCCTCTTCAGCTTTAACATTTCTAGTTGAAGCTATATCTGGCCACATACTATCCTTTCGTAGAGCTTGTAAAACTTATTTATTTAGGCTGGCATTTGAACCTTGTTGATCGAATGTTTCCTTGATTTTAGTGTTATGTATTACATGTGTACATTGTGAACCGCTCCGAGCCTTCAGGGAGTGGTGGTATATAAAATTGATTAATTAATAAATCAATATATAAATAAATACCATATATACTCGAGTATAAGCCGACTTGAATATAAGCCAAGGCACCTAATTTTACCACAAAAAACTGGGAAAACTTATTGACTCGAGTATAAGCTGAGGGTGGGAAATGCAGCAGCTACTAGTAAATTTCAAAATAAAAATAACAATAAATACAAATACAATTAAATTTAGTGAGGCATCAGTAGGTTAAATGTTTTTGAATATTTACCATATTTCAAAGCAAAACAGTAAACCAGTTCAGTAAGTGGAAAGGGAGGGTCAACAAAAACAATATGGTATCAACAATAACTTTATAATAATGGGGACAGGGTGGCTTTCAACATAGTAATAGGCAAACATTCAATGTGTATATAAAACAAAAAAACCCATAAAAATTAAACAAAAGACAATACCAAACATTGTACAATCAGTTAAAGCAAACAGTTGCATTAAATAATTATAATTAACAGCAATTAAAAAACCAGCTGAATTAAAGTGTCATATCAGTTCCCTTTCGCCTACTCTTAGGCTTCTCCTATTGACGCAGCCTAGAATGGCATTGGCTTTTTCAGCTGCAGCATCACACTGTTGGCTCATTTTGGTTGACTAAGACTCCTTTAATAGAATCCTAGAGTTGGAAGGGACCTCTGTAGGCCATATAGTCCAACACCCTTCATTCTGCCTTCATGCAGGGAAAGCACAATCAAAGCACCCCTGACAGATGATCACCCAGCCTCAATAACAATAATAATAATAATCTCCTTTCTGCCTTCATACAGAGAAAGCACAATCAAAGCACCCCTGACAGATAGCCATCCAGCCTAAATAATAATAATAATAATAATAATAATAATAATAATAATAATAATAATAAAAAATAATAAACTGGAAGATACCCCTTGGCCATCTAGTCCAACCCTCTTCATTCTGCCTTCATGCAGGGAAAGCACAATCAAAGGACTCCTGGCAGATGGCCACCCAGCCGTAATAATAATAATAATAATAATAATAATAATAATAATAGTTTTCACCTCCTGGCCCAGGAAGGCAGGCAGGTCGCTGTGAGCAAAGGTTCTCCTCCTCTGCATCTGCTGCGTCCTCCATTCCCAGCGTAGGCCAGCGTGAGGAAGGAGGCCAAAGGCAACCTTCAGGAGCGGCGTGGCATAGGCCAGACGCTCCGTTAGGCCCCAGCTGGGACCAGGAAGGACGGAAGAAACGTGAGGAAGGAGGCGGGAAGTGGCGGCGGGCACGCTTGCCAACCATTTCACTCAGCTAGTGGCAGCTTCGCCATAAGCGAGGTTGAGTGGCTGAGGAGGCCTGCGCTGGCCTCCACAGCCAGCTTCACTCCTATATATTTTATATATATATATATATATATATATATATATATATATATGTATGTATGTATGTATTGTATATCCTTTGTATAACTCCAAACATGTGCCTGAATAAAGTTAATTTGAATTTTACCAAATGAGACATGTTGGGCCGTGTTTGCAGATCCAAGATCATCAAGAAGTGTGGTCTCTAGGGCTGGGCAGTTTCGTTTCGTAATTCGTTAAAAATTCGTTATTTTTTTTTATAATGAAGCGATAACGAACCATTCAGGAGCAACTAAAAAACGAAACGAATTTTTAAATTCGTTTCGTAATTGTTTCGAATTCGTTTGTATTCGTTTCGTTATCGTTTTGAAATCGTTTCGTTATTATTTCCGCATGTCTGGGGCAAGTTTTATAGTTGTTGTTTGTTTAATCAGTGAAAAAAAATTATAAATATCACACCAACAGTCAACAACAGAGGGAGAGGGAAGCTTCAGAAGTTCCCCCTGTCCCATTTGGAGGTTTTTTAGCGTATTGCGCGGTCGCGTCCGCCATTAACGAATCGATTCGTAATTGTTTCGTATTGTTTTGTAATTTACAAAATTTCGTAAATATCGAACTTTTCAAAAGAAAAATTTCGGAATTCTTTTAAAAATCGAAACGCAAAAACCCCCAAAAAACGAATCGATTTTAGAAACAAATTTTTCCGTGGTTGCCCAGCCCTAGTGGTCTCGGCTTCTTCTTCTTGGCCCTTGGAGGCCAACCTTACTGGTTTGTGAATCTACCATGCTGTTAATAATACTTATGGGCCACTGTAATCTCACTTGCTCAGAAAACAGTCTTGCCTCATCTTGCCTGATGGGAGTTCTTCTTTCTAATGAAGCTCAAATGCACTTTTGTGTTGCACTTCACATTTTGCCATTAGTTACTTTAAAAAAAGATAATCTGATAAGGCCATAAGGAACTTCTGCCTGAAATTAATGTGTTTTCCTTCATGTGGATAATTTTTAGATGCTCTCAAAACCAGAGGGAGCTTGTTTAATAGACAGTAAATCCTCTTGTCTTAATTATGCCATGCCCCCTAACCCTCTTCCTTGTGTCTTTTACTGAACTGTGGATACTTGGGTCTTAATCCAGGATGAATTGTAATGCTGTCTCCATCATACTATAAACTTTTTAATGCTTATCAGATGATTAAACCCAATTGGGGCACAAGCCACGTGGAAGGGAATAATAAACTAGTCAACAAGGTTAAGGTTAAAGTAAATGCTATAGTAATCATCCAGGCCATAGAGTTCAAGCTGTTAGTCCTTTGGGGAAATATTAGTACAGATATACATGTTTCAACTGGTTTCATTATCACTACATTGTAGTTCACTAGTTACATTGACATATTGTTAGACTAAGTGGCTGAGAGGGAAAAGGAAAGGGCCTGAGGCTGTTAGGAATGGTGGGAGTTGAAGTCCAAAACACCTGGAGGGACCAAGTTTGTCCATGCCTTGTTTACCATGTGGGGTCTACAGCGAGAAAACATCACTTTGTCCTTTACTCTCAACGTTTTTTCCTCTACAATTGGCTTCATTCTTCTCATTATCTTCTGCTCTTTCCTCAGGTATCTCCATTCAAATAATATTGTTGTTATACCTGAAGGTAAGTGTTTTACTCGGTCCCAAATAGCCAGCTTCATTATGTCATTAACATGAGACGGAGGAATTATGGCTGGATTGGTGAAATATGCTGTGTAGTTCCACAAATGAAAATGCCTGAACCCTGTGTGCTTTGCCTCTAATAAGAGTGTTAAAAAAGTTGAAATAGCATTTCTCATTGAACCAGGTCTTCTAAGCAAGGCACTGGCCGGTTTTAGCTTCCATTTGATGCATGGTTTTAGAACTAATATTGATTTATTTCCCCATTAACCTTGGTTTTGTTGAAGTGCTTCTTCCTTATGTTAAGCCTAACATATGAACAACATATAACCATGAACCCTGTATGATGTGTTTTATTCCTATTTTAAAGGATCGATTGTTTAGTGGTACCCAGTAACTATTGTGGCTGAAATGCAATTTGATCTAGATCTCTAAAATTGAATCCGATTGGCTTCTGTTGATGCCCATTTTTCCTGTTTCCTGTTCTTCAGAATGAAGTAGCATGATATGACCAAATTCAAGATAGAAAGAAGTGCAGTTAGAATGGTGGTGTCACATATCAGATCAGGAACATCTCTGACCTTAAACACCACACTGACTTGGTAAAATCAGCAAGCAGTTTATTGAAGGATATAAGTAGACAAAGCAGTAAAATTAGCAAGAACAGTAAAGTTCCAAAACAAAGGTTAGTCCATGAGCTTCAAAGAAAAACAATATCCATAAATATAAAAATCCATGAAACATGCACAAGAATCCATGAAACAAGGCAGCATGAAAATCAAATACACAAATCATGAGCTTGGCAAAAACTTGGTTCAAGAAACTAAGAACACTTGAAAGCCAAACCGTCATGAAAATCCAATGTTGACCTAACTGAGGCAGCTCTTCCCATGACTCAATATAATGCTTTTCCAGATCCCAAAACTGAAAGAAAGGCATTTCCCTTGACCCTACCACCAAATAAAGTTTTCTTATCTCTTTTCTATCCCGCCTTTCTCAGCCTGAAGGCGACTCAATTATCCCTATTCCCAGCATGAGCATCAGACACAATCACAGGCTGACATACAAGAGGTGGTTGGAAAAAATTATGACATTGGTTTACCCCGTTGTCTGTTGCTTTTAAAAATCTTCCAAAGTCCTAATAACCTGCATGGTCATGTATAAATATAAATGTTTTAGTCAAAAGATCAACCTCCAAAACTAAATAGACTTATCCACAGGTCAGTGTAAGCACTGTACTTGGAGCGATTCCCTTCTCTGGGTAGAGTAGCAAAGGCAGGGGTCCTCAAACTAAGGCCCGAGGGCTGGATGCGGCCCTCCAAGGTCATTTACCCGGCCCTTGCTCAGGGTCAACCTAAGTCTGAAACGACTTGAAAGCACACAACAACAAGAATGGAAAAAATGATTTTAGTGATGAGACACTGATAACTTGTGTTGTATGGTTTTTATTGTTTTATTCTATATGGTTTATATTATATGTAATGTTTTAAACTGTGTTTTATGTTGTTTGGGGGCATTGACTGCCGACTGTAAACCGCCTCGAGTCGCCTTCGGACTGAGAGGGGTGGTATATAAATATGGTAAACAAACAAACAGATAACTAAATCTCATCACCCAAAAGTAGGCCCACACTCCCCATTGAAATACTAATAATTTTATATTTGTTAAAATTGTTCTTAATTTTAATTATTATATTGTTTTTAAGTGTTATTTTGCACTACAAATAAGATATGTGCAGTGTGCATAGGAATTCTTTTTTTTTTTTTTTTCAAATTATAATCTGGCCCTCCAGCAGTTTGAGGAACTGTGACCTGGCCATCTGTTTAAAAAGTTTGAGGACCCCTGATCAAAGGCAAGAGCTTAGTCCATCCCATGAAAACTTAAAGAAGTATTGTATTGATCTGCTTTTTTCAAAAGGCACTGCTTTTAGGCCTTTTTGAAAGCTTGAGCAGAGAAAGAGCAGCCGCGGTAGCACAGCGGTTAAAGCCGTTAGCTGCAGGAAAAGCTGCAGATGGGAGGGTCAACAGTGTGAGCTGCAAGTCACAGTGAGCTCCCAATTGTCAATCCTAGCTTCTGCCAACCTAGCAGTTTGAAAGCATGCAATGCGAGTAGACCAATAGGTACTGCTATGGTGGGAAAGGAAAAGGGCGCCCCACATGCCAGTAAAAAGATCAGAGATGTCTATGGACAGCAAGGCTCCTTCAGCATGGAAAAATGGAACAAGAGCATCTCCCCATGGCTGGAAGTTGAGCATCACCTCCAGACGCCGGAGATAAAAAAGGGGAAGACCTTTTTCTTATCTGTATTGTATGTTGTTGTTCATGTAAAAGGGCACTGAATGTTTGCCTTGTATGTATACTGTAATCCACTATGAGTCCCTCCACAAAGATAAAGCAGGTTATAAATAAAGTGCATTATTACTATTGATAGCTAGAGATGGTTGGTTCTGGGGCAGCATTGGTGCTTTCTTTTTCCACAAAATGATCCTCGACTTATCCAAGAATACATTATATTTACCCCTAAACCTGCCCTTATGCATGAGATTGACTTATCCATGAGAACATATGGTTAATATTCAGCTGTGATGCAGTTTTGCTATATCAAAGCTTCTTCACTATCCAAGAACGGGAATTAGGACAAGGACCACCCCTACCTTCATTCCCTAAGATCTTCATACTTAGGTATTCCCTTCTCTTTTTTCCTTGTTGCAGCCATTGGCTCATTGGTTAAACTGCAGTTTCTGGACTTGAGTGACAATGCTCTTGAAATTGTGTGCCCAGAGATTGGCCGCCTGAGGTCTTTACGCCACCTTCGATTGGCCAATAATCAGCTGAAATATTTGCCAGCAGGTAAGGTGTGAAAAGCTTCAGAGCTTCCAAAACTATTAATATACAGGGTGAGGCAGCATAATTTCCTTTTTTCAAAACTTAATAAAACCCATTGTATGAATCAGAATTTTTTATTTTTTTATTTTTATTTAAGTTTTGTTTTACGTAGTTTTGAAGATCAAATTAGGTAGGTGACGTCCCCCATTCTCCATTCTCCATATACTGGGTAAACCCTATACGGCTCCGGTCCAGCGTACCTGTCCGAACGTATCTCCTTCTACATCCCACCTCGGAGCTTAAGATCCTCTGGGGAGGCCCTGCTCTCAGCCCCGCCGTTGTCTCAAACATGTTTGGTGTGGACGAGGGACAGGGCCTTCTCGGTGGTAGCCCCCCGCCTGTGGAATATGCTTCCCGGGGAAATTAGATCATCATCATCTCTCCTCACCTTCAGAAAGAAGGTAAAATCATGGTTGTGGGACCAGGCTTTCGGGCAATCAGGTTAAAGGACAATGGATAATATTTGACTATGGCTTGGAAGTGGATATGGATAAGTGAAGCGGAGTTATCATTAGTATATGGCTAGATAAATAGCCACCAGACTGGCAATAGCTAAATGGAATGTTAGTATACTGTTTAATTTTTATTTTAATGTTCATGGTTTTAATTGTTATTTTTGCTATTGCATTTTATGACAGACAGCATTGAATTGTTGCCAATTATAAGCCGTCCTGAGTCCCCCTAGGGGTTGAGAAGGGCGGGGTAAAAATGTTCGAAATAACGAAATAATAATAATAATAATAATAATAATAAACCGATTTCTGGCGTTTATCATGCGTCTTGCCAGCATAGCAGGTGTTATGTTGGCAGTTTCTTCCTGGATGTTGGTCTTCAAATCTTGTAGGGTCCTTGGATAGTTCACAGAAACACGGGATTAAAAAAAAAACCATAGAAAATAATCACAAGGGGCCAAATCTGGAGAACGGTGCAGCCACTCCAAATTCGCTCGAAAAGTAGGCCTCAACGGCAAAAGCATGGTTCTCACTGTTCCAACGCATGATGGCGACTGAACTGTGTCAGGACAAAACTTTATACTCCCGCCTCTCAAACGAGACCACTAGCGCTCCGCTATGTCTTCAACCGACTGAATGGCGCACATTTTAAAAAAGGAAGTTATGCTGCCGCACCCTGTATATGTATACATGTGCATTTTGTTACAATGTGTTAGAAAATTGTTTGTAAACTGCATTATACTTGTACCCATTCAAAAATGATAGGATTGAATGACTTCATTTATTGCTTTCCAATCCACAGAGCAAATAGAGCATTAAAATTAAATGCCTCACTTATTGTAAATCTGGTACAGTTTCTTGAGGGAGAAATGGACACTGTGATGACCTGTGCATTCTGCATTACACTTAAGTGGCTGGTACCACATTATCTGTTGTTTTGGGTGACGAATTAGCAGCATTCCAAACAGTCGTTTTAAGGCAGTGTTTCTCAACCTGGGGGTCAGGACCCCTGGAGGGGTCGTGAGGAGGTTGCAGAGGGGTGGCCAAAGACCATCAGAAAACACACATTTTTGATGGCCTTAGGAACCCTTTTAGCAAAGAAGGCTGAAGATCTGTCCACCAGTACTTCTCTTCTTTTTGGGTGTTGGTGAACTGCAATTCCCAGAATTCAAACAGCCTCCCCAACCCCACCAGTTATCAATGTTGGCCATGTAGGCAACGTGCTAAGTTTGGTGCAGATCCATTGAGGGTGGGGTCTGAGTGCTCTTTAATTGTAGGTGAACTATAAATCCCAGCCACTACAACTCCCAAATGTCAAGGTCTATTTTTTTTCCAAACTCCACCAATGTCCACATTTGCGCATATTGAGTATTCGTGCCAAGTTTGGTCCAGATCTATCATTGTTTGAGTCCACAGTGCTCTCTGGATCTAGGTAAACTACAACTCCAAAACTCAAGGTCAATGTCCAACAAACCCTTCAAGAATTTTCTGTTGGTCATGGAAGTTCCGTGTGCCAAGTTTGGTTCAATTCCATTATTGGTGAAGTTCAGAATGCTCTTTGATAGTAGGTGAACTATAAATCCCACGACTACAACTCCCAAATGACAAAATCAATCCATCCGCCCAACCCCACCAGTATTCAAATTTGGACGTATTTTGTATTTGTGCCAAATTTCATCCAGTGAATGAAAATACATCCCACAGATCAGATATTTACATTACGATTCATAACAGTAGCAAAATGACAGTTGTGAAGTAGCGATGAAAATAATTTTATGGTTCGAGGTCACCACAACACGAGGAACTGTATTAAGGGGTCGCAGCATTAGGAAGGTTGAGAACCACTGTTTTAAGGAGAATAATGTGTTCCCCACACCAAGGTTTCATCTTTGGGTTGATACTAAGTGAAGAAAAGTTTAATTATCATCATTGTAATCCTAAGTATGCATGATTATTTGCCATCTTAAATAAGCCACATTAAACTAAACTTTACCTTGTAGTAAAGGTGTTTAAGATGACATGATATCAGTTCATTTTCATACAAGATAAGCTATCCTGCTTGAGTACTAGTGCTGTACGTGTGGTTGGAGTCATTAAAACGGGTAAAACTGCCATTATATAAGGCCGGCAACATTTTCTGAAAGAAGGCTGCCATCAAGAGTAATTGACGTTCCAGAAATAGCGCATTCAAACGAATACCTGGATATTTTTCTACTTGTTAAAACTTATGCTGGGTTCTGACTCTTTAAAAGCAAGGTTTGTTCAAAGACAAGGGGAAAGGACATGGAAGAGAATTCAACAGGTGCCGTAATGGAAATGGAGGGCTGGGAAAAAAGGGTAAATCACATTGTGAATCATGAGCCCCTTTATTTACAATTTTTTGTATCACTTTCTCAGCCATAGTCATTAGGAATTGTACAAAGCTTTCAGCAGCTCAGTCCTGGATCATGTATAAACATGCATATTTGGAGTGTATTAGAATGTTTTTCCCCTTCCTAAGTATGTAGTTATTGCCTTTAGGTTAAAATGGCTTTATGAGGAGATTAGACAAATGCCTGTCAATGGCTAGTAGTCAGCAGTGGCTATATTCAGTCTCTGGGCACAGGCTGGATACCAACTGCTGAGAGTAACAGCAGGAGAAAGCAGTTGCTATTACTAAGTTCCCCTTATGGGCTTCCTAAAGTGATCCAGCTCCCCATTGAGAGGAATTGGGTGCTGGGTGAGCAAGACCTGTGGTCTGTTCCAGCAGGCCTGCTCTCACATTCTGTTCTGAATTTTAATTTCTCTTAAGGTGCCAGAGGCAACTAACAACAAATTATAAAAGGCATTGAAGTTAAAAAGCTAATCAAGCAAAAGAGAAATTGCTGAATGCATACAGTGAAGCAAGGGGAGTAATTTGTAAGAGCGGTTCAATTACTATCCAGATTTAGCACAGGGAGAGTGGAGTTGTCACAAGGATAACTGTTACTATCCAACCAAAGTAACAACAACAAGAAGAAAAAGAAGTTGAAGTTGTGTTAAGGTTAATTAACCTTAATTAAGGTTAATTAACAGGGATTGTGGGGCAGCTGGCTGAGTGTCAGCTGCATTAAGATCACTCTGACCAAAAGGTAATGAGTTCGAAGCCAGCCCGGGTTGGAGTGGGTTTCCAACCAATTGTGTAGCCTGTTGTCGACCTTTGCAACCTGAAAGACAGTTGCATCTGTCAAGTAGGAAAATTAGGTACCACCTTAAAGTGTGGGGAGGCTAAATTAACTAATTTATGAGGCCATAAAAAAGACTCCAGCGAAAGCATGCAGGGAATGCGGAAGTACTTCATCAGTGTCGCAGATGGATGATGAAAGCGACAGCTCCCCTGGGGGGCAGAAAAAGTTAAATAGCCTCTGTGTCTGTCTGTCTATATGTTGAGTGTCTATTGGCATTGAATGTTTGCCATATATGTGTACACTGTAATCCGCCCTGAATCCCCTGTGGGGTGAGAAGAGCGGAATATAAATACTGTAAATAAATAAATAAATAAATAAATTGAGCTGCTGGACTTGCTGACCGGAAGGCTGACAGTTCAAATCTGTGGGATGGGGTGAGCTTTTGTTGTTAGCCCCAGCCCCAACCTAGCAGTTCAAAAATATGCAAATGTGAATAGATCAGTAGTTACTGCCTCAGCTGGAAGGTCAACAGTGCTCCATGCAGTCATGCTGGACACATGAACTTGGAGCTGTCTACGGACAACGCTGGCTCTTCGGATTAGAAATGGAGATACACACCACCCAACAGAGTCGGAGATGAAGGGGAAGCCTGTACCTTTATCTGTGTACCTATGATTCATTATTTTGAGGCATTGAATGTTTGCCTTGTGTGTCTGTATGTCTGTATATGCTGGAATCCACCCCAAGTCCCCTCAGGGAGATAGGGCGGAATACAAATAAAGTGTTCTTATTTTACTGACACAAAAACACAGTAAACTTTTTATATATATGCTGGATTTCGTATCACAAAATCACAAGTTGAATACTTCCCAGGAGTTTAGGACTGTGTGATGTTATTATTCCCAAGCGTTTAGGACTCTGTGTAGTTAATGTTTTTATTGTTATTATTATATCCCTCCCCCCCCCCCTTTCTGGAATGGACTCGGGGTAGCTCACATCAAGTAAAAGTTAAACAATGCCAAAAGAACCCCCCAGAAATGGTACATGGAACCATTGCAATTACTGAAAACATAATATTTATTTATTTATTTGCTTACTTACTTCATTTCTATCCCGCCTTTCTAGAGCCCGAAGGGGACTCAAGGCGGCTTACAAATCCTGCAAAAAGTCAATGTTGCACAGGTAAACAATAAAACACATCTCATCAAAATATAAGCAATCTAAATATAAACACATATCACTCAATCAAACAGGTTAAAACCAAATAAAAATAAAATACAGAGTCATGATCCCATGTCTAAAGAACATAATATCAACATCAACATCAAAAATATCTGCTCTTGGTGGAATAAAATTAAACCAGTAG